AAAATATGAAAAATGAGTCCAAACTCGACATATCTAGGCGTAATAATACCGCAGATATCTCGATTTTTATAAAAACAAGATGGCCGAAAACAAAACACTAAGAAATCGTGTCATCTATGCTCTTAAGAGTGAATTTTATGAAAGATATAGGGTGTGATATATCAAATTAGGTTAAATTTTTCTGATCTTTACGAAAATCTTATTCTTTTTGATGTTTATGAAAAATTTAAGAAATGTTGCTCTTTTAATTAAAACAAAAATTGAATATTTTTTATGTTTATGAATAATCCTTTGAAGTGGATCTAAACACGACGTATTTTGCTATAAAACTGTCTGAGGTATTTTGACTTTTGACAGTTTTGGTAAAATCCAAGATGGCGGAAAATTAATGATTCGTAAATATTACTGTAGATAATTAAAAATTATGTAAAATGAGTCCAAACTCGACATATCTAGGCGTAATAATACCGCAGATATCTAGATTTTTATAAAAACAAGATGGCCGAAAACAAAACACTAAAAAATTGTGTCATCTATGCTTTCAAGAGTGAATTTTATGAAAGATATAGGATGTGATATATCAAATTAGGTTAAATTTTTCTGATTTTTATGAAAATCTTCTTCTTTTTGATATTTATGAAAAATTTATGAAATGTTGTTCCTTTAATTAAAACTAAAATTGAATATTTTTTATGTTCACGAACAATCCTTTGAAGTGGATCTAAACACGATGTATTTAGCTATAAAACTATCCGAGGTATTTTGATTTTTGACAGTTTTGATAAAATCCAAGATGGCCGAAAATTAATGATTCGTAAATATTACTGTAGATAATTAAAAACTATCTAAAACGAGTCCAAACTCGACATATCTAGGCGTAATAATACCGCAGATATCTCGATTTTTATAAAAACAAGATGGCCGAAAACAAAACACTAAAAAATTGTGTCATCTATGCTTTTAAGAGTGATTTTTTTGATAGATATAGGGTGTGATATATCAAATTAGGTTAAAATTTTCTGATCTTTATGAAAATCTTATTCTTTTTGATGTTTATGAAAAATTTATGAAATGTTGTTCCTTTAATTAAAACTAAAATTGAATATTTTTTATGTTCATGAACAATCCTTTGAAGTGGATCTAAACACGATGTATTTAGCTATAAAACTATCCGAAGTATTTTGATTTTTGACAGTTTTGATAAAATCCAAGATGGCCGAAAATTAATGATTCGTAAATATTACTGTAGATAATTAAAAATTATCTAAAATGAGTCCAAACTCGACATATCTAGGTGTAATAATACCGCAGATATCTCGATTTTTATAAAAACAAGATGGCCGAAAACAAAACACTAAAAAATTGTGTCATCTATGCTTTTAAGAGTGCATTTTATGATAGATATAGGGTGTGATATATCAAATTAGGTTAAATTTTTCTGATCTTTACGAAAATCATAAGATTGAGCATAATTTATACTTGTCTAAATGATTAAGAACTAGTTTTTAGACAATCCATGTTGCTCGAAATGATTAAAAACTTGTCTAAATGTATAAGGACTAGTTTATAGCAAGTCTAGGTTACTCAAGAATGATTGAAAATTGCACCAATATTGTCTAAAATTGGTTTGTAAGGTAGCAAAATTATTCCAAATGTTTTGAAATAAATTCATAGCCATCTCATGTTGTTCAAAATCATTGAAAACTGTTTGAGCATAATTTTATGCTTGTCTAAATGATTAACAACTAGTTTTTAATTAAACCATGTTGCTCAAAATGACTATAAATTTGTTAATAGTCATTAAAAACTTGTCTAAATATATAAGGACTAGTTTATAGCAAGGCCAGGTTGCTCAGAACGACTGAAAACTGCACTAACATTGTCCAAGATTGGTTTATAAGGTAGCAAAATTGTTCAAAATGTTTCAAAATTATTTCATAGTCATCTCATGTTGTTCAAAATAGTTGATAACAGGTTGAGCATAATTTTATACTTGTCTAAATCATTAACAACTAGTTTTTAAACAATCCATGTTGCTCAAAATGACTAAAAATTTGTTAATAGTCATTAAAAACTTGTCTAAATCTATAAGGACTAGTTTATAGCAAGGCCAGGTTGCTCAGATCGACTGAAAACTGCACTAACATTGTCCAAAATTGGTTTATAGGGTAGCAAAATTGTTCAAAATGTTTCGAGACAGGTTCATAGCCATCTCATGTTGTTCAAAATCATAGAAAACTGGCTGAGCATAATTTTATACTTGTCTAAATCATTAACAACTAGTTTTTAAACAATCTATATTGCTCAAAATGACTAAGAATTAGTTAATAGTCATTCGAAACTTTTCTAAATGTATAAGGACTAGTTTATAGCTGGTCCAGGTTGCTCAAAATGACTGAACACTGCACCAACATTCTCCAAAATTGGTTTGTAAGGTAGCAAAATTGTTCAAAATGTTTCGAAATAGGTTCATAGCCATCCCATGTTGTTCAAAATAACTAAAAATTAGTTGATAGTCATTAAAAACTTGTCTAAATGTATAAGAACTAGTTTATAGTAAGTCCAAGTTGCTCAGAACCACTGAAAACTGTACCAACATTGTCTAAAATCGGTTTATAGGGTAACAATATTGTTCAAAATGATTGGAAATAAGTTACTAGCCATCTCATGTTATTCAAAATCATTGAAAACTGGTTGAGCATAATTTTATACTTGTCTAAATCATTAACAACTAGTTTTTAATCAATCCATGTTGCTCAAAGCGACTAAAAATTAGTTGATAGTTGTCTAAATATATAAGACTTACTTTATAGTAAGTCCAGGTTGCTCAGAATGACTGAAAACTGCACCAACATTGTCCAAAATTAGTTTATGACGTAGCAAAATTGTTCTAAATGATTGGAAATAAGTTTATAGCCATCTCATGTTATTCAAAATCATTGAAAATTGGTTGAGCATAATTTTATACTTGTCTAAATGATTAACAACTAGTTTTTAAACAATCCATTTTGCTCAAAATGACTGAAAACTAGTTGATGGTCATTAAAAACTTGTCTAAAAGTATAATGACTAGTTTATAGTAAGTCTAGATTGCTCAGAACAAATAAAAACTACACTAACATTGTCCAAAATTGGTTTATAAGGTAGCAAAATTGTTCAAAATAATTTCATAGCCATTTCAAGTTGTCCAAAACAATTGATAACAGGTTGAGCATAATTTTATACTTGTCTAAATGATTAACAACTAGTTTTTAAACAATCCATGTTGCTCAAAATGACAGAAAACTAGTTAATGGTCATTAAAAACTTGTCTAAATGTATAACAACTATTTTAGAGCAAGTCCAGATTGCTCAGAACAATTAAAAACTGCACCAACATTTTCCAAAATTGGGTCCATGTTCTTAAAAATCATTGCAAACTGATTGAGCATCGTTTAATACTTGTCTATTTGATTAATAACTACTTTATACCAATCCAGGTTGCTCAAAAGACGCACGGTTAAACCCGAATCTTTGTAATTTTACGTCTAGAGTTGCATCATCAAGAGTCTCTGAGTTGAGAACGACAACGGACAAAAAGAAAATCGATTCCATGGAGATGGTTTGCTGGCACAGAATGCTAAGAATTTTGTGAACACAGAGATCTAACTACAACAACTGAAACCAAAAAAAAGATTGCGAGTCGTGGTAGCCGAAAAAACATTGCAACATTTTTTGGGAACATCATGGGACAAAGTCTGGTACGCACATTCAAGATGGCTCAGAAATGTATAAAAGAAGGATTATTCTATAGTACTGCCGATCTACGGCAATCGAAGTATATTTGATTATGACTTATTTAATAACAGCATTAACAAGATCCTTTATGGGAAAGCTAGAAGTTCCACTACTTTGTGGACACACCATATAATAAATAGAAATCTAAATAAAAATTTTCTATAATATTCAGAATATGTTAATTCCGGCTCTGCATTCTTCCTTTTTACATGATGGTGTGAGGAGAGAGGAAGGAGGAAAAGCTCTTTCCAGACGGAGTCCGGTCGCCGGCTTAACTCTGCCTCACAAAAGCCGATCCGATCTCGTTAAGGGGAAGAACGAGGCAGGTAGAGGCGGCGGCGGCGGTTTCGGCCCCGGGCCCCCCGCTGCGGTCCTCAAGATCGCTTCAGAAAGATTCTTTACAGTTGTTAACAAGCAACTTAAAAAAAATTTCATCGCCAAATACCATTAAAAAAAATCACCTGAATAATCAAAATGTAATACTTAAAAGTGAGAAAATACTTTTAATATGAAATATTGAGTAGTAATATGAGTCGAGCTTTTTGAATCATACCTCGTTTATAGTCAAAACTTAAAGAGGAGTCGTTTCGGTAATAAATCTTCGCCTAATTTAAATACGCCTTTGTTTCGGGACAAAACTCTTTTCGGTGCGGTTTTCGAATGCGCGGCTCGATTCCTTTGAAATCGTATCGCGAAACCCTCTCGAATAAAACGCGTTTCGCAGAACGAACACGAAGGAGCACCGCATTCCGAAAGGAAAAAGAAGGGGGCGACATCGCGTGTTCAGAATTTGAATAAGAACGTCAACATTTTTATTTCGTCTCGTTCTCATTATGTTTTCTCGTTATAAAAGTATCAGATTGTAACTTAATATTAAAAGTAGGAAGTTGAAATTAAATACTTACTTCGAGGATACGATTTCTGTTCTTTTATTTCGTTATAAATTTTTATAATCCTGTCCTGTACAACACTCCTTGTTTGTTGTACTGCAGAACGCTGACACGAGGTTACCACATGGCCCTAAAGCGGCGCTGGCTTCAACCTCTACGTCGTTTCAATTCAAACCCCGTGGGTTTTATTTATTTTCTCTCCTTGTAAATATTTATTTCAATCCAGCGTCGCGACGCTAACATCAGCTATTTTCACTTAAACAAAATCTTGTTCTTTTATTGAACGTGTTTTAGACTAAACAATTTTATTAAAACTTCTTTTTTTGATTTAAGGTGGGTGGCTTTATGTGCTTGGTGGGTTGCCAAAGCTGGACTTTCCTGGCCATCGGAAAAGCTTCGAAATTTAGGATCTTGCCTCCACATCGCCGCTTGGGGATTCCCCGCGATTCAAACTGTAGGAGCCTTAGTTAAAAGAGAAATTGATACGGACGAATTAACTGGTAAGTTTTAAGTGTTTAAATTGTTTAATAACACGTAAAATAAAATGAGGGGTTAACTTGGTGTCGCTAAAGTTGTAATGAATTGATAATTAATCATCAAACAACATTTTTTATTTGCGAAAATTCCTCAAAAACATTCCCCATTAAGATCGGTGTCGGGTTGAATTTAAAGAACGCGTTAAACGCCTCCGATTCGAGTGTAATTAAGGTTCCGGCTACAAGGTTCAGATTCCGGACGAATCTCGTCTCGTAACAACTTCATAATCTCTCTGACAAGGTAGCTTTTTATGTTTTATTTAGAAATAACTTCTTTTTATTGTTATGGTCTTAAATAATTGGTATCATCTTAATAGTCAATCTAACTTTAATATTTTAATGAAGTGAAAAGTATGCAACCAATATCACAGTATTTATTTTATAATACGCGATTTACGTAGTGATGTGATATTGGTTGCATACTTGCAATGATGACGTCGGGTACGATAATTAATTAACACACTGTACATAATCGTAAAAAACCAAAACAAACTTTACATTAATAAAGACTAAAATAATAGATACAAGAAAATCAAAACACAAAATTGACACAACACTCTTAATGAGATAGTTTGTTAGAACACAAAAAGTCAAAGTTAGACTCAATATCGTGACAGTTTTAGTCTTAAATTAGGTTCTCCTCCATTTAATCGGCTTCTGTATTTATCTTTCAAGTAAGTATAATATATGTGGAAAATCCTTTCTCACATAGATATGTTGTGCAAAAAGGTAATAAAACTTTGATAGCTTTTTCTGACAAAATAGCATATTCATTTCCAATACTGAGCCAAAAGTCTAAACTTTTTTAGCATGGATAAACACCTAATTTCATACATTATATGTACTACTATATGTATATACCATTATACTATTTTTTTTAATGAAATGTTTGGTTCAGTAAGAAATGCTATATTAATTCAAACAAGCTTGTCAAAATTTTGTCGCGGGAAAAGCCATCTAATTTCCGTGAGATATAGAAAAACGTGAAGGTCTTCATAAAGCGCATGAAATAGACGAGAATGGGTAGATTACATAAACCATTACCAGAAACCAGATTACAAAACCAGAATATTTTCCTATCATTGATTTTGCACCATCTGTCAGCCACATAATAAAACTATCAAATATTGCTTCTCCCGTTGTATAAGTTTTTAAAGGTTTTGCAAAAAGCACATCTTCCTGAATGGAATTCTTAAACGGTCGACTCGTCAAGCTAGGTCGCAAAATAATTCAATTTAATTCTTTTTAAAAGCTCATTCTGTATTATTGATAAAGAAACTAGGTCAATTTTTTTTTATGCCTTTTCTCCAAGCATACACTTTGTAATATCTCTTGCACATGGTCCAATTAAATTTTTTGCAATTGTATGTGCCTGTCCAGATTTTGCAATTCTATAGTTTACTCGAAATAATGCCTCGAGCGCCATTTTACTATCTTCCGTTGAAGCTGACAATAAAGAAGATACACTACTCTTTCTATCAGCCAATTGTCATCTAAAATACTTGACAAGTTTTTCTTGGATGTTTGTGTTTCAAGTGATGGTTTTAAGCTGTCGTTAGCAAGCACTTCATTGGAAATTACACAAAGCGGTTTGATTATTTATTTCGATTTCATCAGTTTCATCAATTTTTTCTTTGTATTTAGTCGGCTAAAAAGTTAGTTCACTACAGCTCTCAGTATCATCGCTCTTTGTTGTTTCAAAATCGGGTGTTGTCGATGAAGATTGCACTTCCTCAATGTCTTTAATTACGTATCTGTCATTATCTAGTGATTTCACAACTTTATATGGGCCTGTGTACATCGGTTCTAGCTTTCGACTGGTTCCTGTTGACGGGGCATCACTACGTACTAAAACTAGATCACCTATCTTGAAATTTTATGCTTCATTAGAAACAATTTTTGTGCAAAATACTTTTCTCAATCGCGTTTAGTTTTTGATATTTGATGGACTTTAATAACAAAAATCGTCAATTTTGATATTTTGGGGATTTTCACTTTCTAACTAAAAAGTAAACTAAATCTGGTTATGGATTATGCTTCTTTCCTTCATTAGAAACAATTTATATTAAAACTATTTTTCTCCATCACCTTTAATTTTTGAATTATCATCGACTTTAATAATAAAAGTCATAATTTTGGACATTTTGGGGATTTTCGCTTTCTAACTAACAAATGGTAACAATTAAGCTAGTTCTGATTATGGATTATGTATTTATGGTTCATTAGAAACAATTTTTGTAAAAAACATTTTTCTCCATCACCGTTAATTTTTGAGTTATCATCGACTTTAATAAATAACAAAAATCATAATTTTTGACATTTTGGGAACTTTCGAATTCCAACTAACAAATGGTTATAATTAAGCTGGTTCTGGTTATGGATTATGTATTTATGGTTCATTAGAAACAATTTTTGTAAAAGATATTTTTCTCTATCACGTTTAATTTTTGAGTTATATTGAATTAAAATAACGAAAATAGTAAATTTTGATATTTTAGGGATTTTCACTTTCTAACTAAAGAATGGTTTTATAACTGAACTAAATCTGGTTATGGATTATGCTTCCTTGCTTCATTAAAAACAATTTATGTCAAAACTATTTTTCTCCATCACCTTTAATTTTTGAGTTATCATTGACTTTAATAATAAAAGTTATAATTTTGGACATTTTGGGGATTTTCGCTTTCTAACTAACAAATGGTAACAATTAAGCTAATTCTGATTATGGATTATGAATTTATGTTTCATTAGAAACAATTTTTGTAAAAAACATTTTTCTCCATCACCCAGAATTTTTGAGTTATCATCGACTTTAATAAATAACAAAAATCATAATTTTTGACATTTTGGGAACTTTCGAATTCCAACTAACAAATGGTTATAATTAAGCTGGTTCTGGTTATGGATTATGTATTTATGGTTCATTAGAAACAATCTATCACGTTTAATTTTTGAGTTATGTTGAACTAAAATAACGAAAATCGTAAATTTTGATATTTTAGGGATTTTCACTTTCTAACTAAAGAATGGTTATACCTAAACTAAATCTGGTTATGGATTATGCTTCCTTGCTTCATTAAAAACAATTTATATTAAAACTATTTTTCTCCATCACTTTTAATTTTTGAGATATCATCGACTTTAATAATAAAAGTCATAATTTTGGACATTTTGGGGATTTTCGCTTTCTAACTAACAAATGGTAACAATTAAGCTAATTCTGATTATGGATTATGAATTTATGTTTCATTAGAAACAATTTTTGTAAAAAACATTTTTCTCCATCACCCAGAATTTTTGAGTTATCATCGACTTTAATAAATAACAAAAATCATAATTTTTGACATTTTGGGAACTTTCGAATTCCAACTAACAAATGGTTATAATTAAGCTGGTTCTGGTTATGGATTATGTATTTATGGTTCATTAGAAACAATTTTTGTAAAAAATATTTTTCTCTATCACGTTTAATTTTTGAGTTATGTTGAACTAAAATAACGAAAATCGTAAATTTTGATATTTTAGGGATTTTCACTTCTAACTAAAGAATGGTTATAACTAAACTAAATCTGGTTATGGATTATGCTTCCTTGCTCCATTAGAAACAATTTATGTTAAAACTATTTTTCTCCATCACCTTTAATTTTTGAGTTATCATCTGACTTTAATTACAATAATCGTCAATTTTGGGGATTTTCGCTTTCTAACTAACTAACCTCTATTGTTAAAGGATTTCTTTTTGTCACACTGTTTATTGCCCACTGAACCTCATACATCTTCAAACTTCAATCTTCTCCACTTACGGTACTTGTACCTGTAGTCAAGCAAGAGATGATCATCCTGTTAATTTTTTCCACCTGTCCATTGGCTTGAGGAGAGCCTGATCGTATTTTAACATGCTGTATTTGCTTTACAATAATAACAGGCTTTCCATAATGACAAATTACTTCTTTGGTGAATTCAATTGTTGACACTGCATCTACATCTGCGATAGCTTTCAAAATGCCACGATAACATACTTCTGTCTGGTACCTTCTTTCATCTGGAACGTATCCAAATGATCTATGTGGATACTTTGGAATGGAATCTTTAGCCAGTTGACGCAACGCAAAACTATGGTTGTAACTGCTTCTTTCATCCAAGGGAAGTAATAATTCTCATTTAACAATCTCACAATTTCATTAAAATCGCCATTGTTGCTAATCATTTTACTTCAACGTCTTCTGGCTATGAGATACACTCCAAAAACTTTCCAACGTGCACACTGCTGCCAAAACTTCCAACTCGAACGCATGATGCATAGATTCGTCCTGGGTCGTCTTCCTACTAAAATACGAAATATGATGCAGGGTCTGGTTGAGTCTAAAACAGCACCCAGCTATTCCTAGTGAACTTACATCCGTGTGAACTTCTGCCTAAAGCTTTGTATCGTGATTACGTAGATCGATGATTACTTGAGGTTCGTACACCTTTTGGGTATAAGAAACATGACTAAGCTCTCAAATTTTCTGGACCCTGGTTGTATTCCTGCTTCGGTTATCTCATAGCCAAGGTATTCGATCTTCTTCATGAAGAAATATCATTTTTCCGGCTTAAGTGTCACACCTGCATCTCGCAGTATTTTAAAAACCATACATAGCTTATGCATTCCTTCCTCGATGGTGGTGGATGGTATAATGATATCGTCATTATGAATTAGAATGATTAGATCTTCACTGGATATATTTTACACTGGTAAAACGGATTTACCTTCATACTCGGTCTTTATCAGACATCTTAGGATAGCTTGTCTCTTCTCTTAGATGCTGCCTTCTACACATAGATCTCGATTTCCTATGTTGCCAACTACTGTAATATGTCCCAAATAATTGCTCGTGATAACTGCTTCAGTATCTGTGTGCAAAATAGTCTTTTCATTTTCAGTTACATTATTAACTATTAATTATTATTAACTTCTACTTGTG